CCGTGTCCAAAGGTGCGTCGGAACGCATGGCCAGCATGGAAGACGTGAAGCAGCTCAAATACTTGGAGTGCGTCATTAAAGAGGCCCTGCGCCTCTATCCCTCCGTACCTTTCTTCGCACGCAGCCTCCGTGAAGACACGAAAATCAGTACGTATGAGCGATGAGCATAACGATTAGAACCATTCCTGTGTACGGCGGCCATTGTGGGGTTTTACTCATTCCAGACGATGCCAGTTCCGGTGTTATTCAGGAGGCTGACTAAAAAAAAAAATAAATAAAAAAAAATTCTTTTAATTTTGCCAGATGGTTTTAAAGTGCCCAGTGGCACCAACGCCGTCATCATCACCTACGCTCTCCACCGAGATCCTCGCTACTTCCCCGAGCCTGAGGAATTCCGGCCCGAACGCTTCCTGCCGGAAAATTTAGCGGGGAGACCACCCTACGCATACATCCCCTTTTCTGCCGGACTCCGCAACTGCATCGGTAAGAATGGAAGTTGTGGATCGGTGCGCTCATGAGAATGCTAAAGCTAACGCAGATACTTGTACTTATCTTCATGCTAATGCTCATGTTAATGGCAACACCGATGCTAATGTTAATGCTTCTCTTGCTAATATCAATGGTTCTCATCACGCTAAAGCTAATACCTCTCACGCTAAAGCTAATGCTTCTCCGTATACTCATCCTAAAGTTGATACAATTTAATCCGCTAAGGCTTTATTTCCTCATTGTTTTCCACTCCGGCAGGTCAGCGCTTTGCTATCATGGAGGAAAAGGTGGTCTTATCATCCATTTTGCGTAAATTTAACGTGAAAACCAGCCAGTCCCGCGAGGAGCTGTGTCCAACAGCTGGGCTCATTCTGCGGCCCGAATGTGGCATCTGGATCCAGTTGGAAAAGCGGGACAAAGCCCAGACGACGCTTCTCCTCTGAGAAATGAATGAACTTTTACATGTAAATAATCAATATACTTGTGATCTGTCTTAAAATTGTTTGTTTTTGTCGAATTAGAAGCATAAAAGTTCCTTTTTTTTCCCTGCCAATTCAAATATATTTGTGCCCGTAATTAGTTACGGTATTCCAAATATCCTATAGTATACCAGTTTATACTAGTTAAAACGCGGCAAAACATTTTCCAATTCATACTAAAATTTAGATGTATGATTTCCTTTGACATTTAACTTGTTTAATTTTAAAACTGCATATTTCTTAAAATCAAATTCTAACTTTTTTTTTAATTGTGGTTAAACATTTTAGTTGAACCCCTTTTTCAAATGAACCAAGAATTAAAGAAAAACACAAAGTGATTTTTCAAGACATAAGTAGTTATGTCATTGCATTGTGTACAAATATATGCTGCATATTTCTTGCAATTAAAAAAAATGAAATTATGTCTGGCCCATTTTGTCTTATGACGGCACACAGTATTTGACAATTATTTTTGGGATGTCCAAGGCCATTTTGAATATGCTAATTTACTGATTGAACGACACACACACACACACACACACACTGTTAAACCAAAGGCGGCTTTTTTTTTTAATGATATCATAAAATCAGTATTTCCGAAATAACCGGCCTGTTCTTTTTTTTCCCTTTGAATTTGAAACGCGGCAGAATTGGAGTTCAACAAAAACAAGGTTGAAAAATATGTCCCCAAATTGATATAAATGGATTGCATCGTATCGTAAAAGCGTAAACCAAGCAATCCCCCGTGCACGGCAATCTGTGGGATGGAATTTTTTTTTTCTCTCTCTCTCTTGACCATGCTGATAACGCGTGTGTAAAGATAAGCCACAAAAGACTTGCGTGTTCAAAAGGCGACATAAAAGAGCAGATTAGTCGCTATCTTGAGCACAATTACGCACATTTGTGCCCAAGTCTGCTGCATGTTGTCTCGTTTATACACGAACAGCGCAAAGGTCGCAAAATCCCAAAGACTCGCCGGGGACCATCGGGTGACTTTTCAAGTTGCGCTGAAGCATAAGTGACCTCCATCGGCGCTTGGTGCAATGCTAATGCCGGCTAGCCTGAGTCAGAATCGTAATAAAAGCTACTTTGAATTGGCTTGGCTAGCTTTGTTTTCTCTGCAAGTTTCTGTTTTACGGTTGATTTAGGAAGCCGAAAAGAGACGGACCACAGAAAAACTCTTGAGGCCCTCGCTGTACGCTTAGCTCGAGAATTCTGTCAAAAATACATTTTTATCATCAAAACAACTTCATCATGATCATCTTGATGTTTTAGTGTGACCACGGTGGCCCATTGAGGTCAACGAGGATGAATGGTCAGAGGTCCTGATGGCAGGACGGCGTAACAAACGATCCCAATCCATTACGTCACAAGAGAGGTCAGCGGATGATGAATGGAAGAGGATTGTTTCAATTATTCAACGCGCAGCCTAATCAATGCCGGCCGAGATATTCAGAGAGCCGGAACCGTTCCATTATGCCGGAATCTAAACTGCAAAACACACGTGGGCAGTGTTCTTGATTTTTTTTCTTTCCTCCCCCATCTTACTATAAATATGAACATTTCGCGTACAATCAATTGATTTTACTTGTTGTTACAACTGATGATTGTCGCATGGAGTAAATGTTTGGAAAACTAGCGAATGGAAACAAAAGTGCATTCAAGAAGTAGTCCAAGAAGACAAAAAAAAAGAGGGAAGAGTAGAAAATGGAGACAAAGAATGGGTTGAAAAAAATTGACGTGCATGTTTGACCCAGGAACTGACTATTTCAATTATTTTCCAATTGCTGCTCATCACTTCTCATTTTATCATAGATGTACATATGAGTCAGATCCCCTTGATGGTTGGTCATGGAACGTAGAACGATGACGATCCATTCGTCATCATCGCCAACATCTCTGATGTCGATTTGGGCGCCGATTGATTGCTCCTGTCTGCCGGCGCATGAGCCTGATGCACCGCAACACCTTTGGGAGGAGGAAGAAGATGGTGAGGAGGAGGATGAAGAACAGGAGGAGGAAGATGCGAGCGGCGATCAAAAAGAGGAAATGATGGAGACGAGGAAGAGGAGGATAAAGAAGATGGCGAGGATATGTGGCGAAGAACGACGAGGCACACAATCGTGATGAATTGGGGGATGGGATGAAGAACCTTTGGATGAAAAACATGGAGAGGTGGACGGTCCGAATGAAGATGATGAGGAGAATGGGGTTGAAGATGAGGAAAGGGATGATAAAGAGGACGGTAGAGCTGAGAAAGATGAAAATGAAGAAGAACATGAGGATATATGGAGGAAGATGAAGACGACGAATATGTTGAAATGAATGAGAGGAGGAAGAAGACGGAGATGACAAAGGGAAAGGTGATGGAGAGCATGAGGAAGATGCGGATTGTCAGAAGAACCAATTCGACATTCATAAGAAAGATAAAAGGATGATGAAGAGGATGATAAGAATGAAGATCAAAAGGCAAGGAGGAAGAGGAAGATGACAAAGAAAACGACGACGAGGAGGAGGATGAAGCTGAAGATGAAGAGGTTGAGGGAGATGAGGATGAAGATGCAAAGGATGGGAAGGAGATGGAAGATGATGGAGACGAGGAAGCGGATGAAGTTGCATCAAGTTGAATGATGATGACGATGATGATGATGATGGTGACTTGCGCACGACTGCACTGGCCTACTTTTCCAACATGCTGTAGTTCACCCTAATGTCCACTGGGAGGCAGCAACGCATTATAGAAGAAAGGAAAGTTTGTTGCTGAGCTCGATGAGAGAGATTTGCAGGGCCGCTTCTTGCTCTGTGCAAAGTGGGCGGTAGCCCAGGGCGCAATCTATCAGGGGGCGTCCCAGAAAAAAAATATTCATTCAAACAATCTCTTATACGTATTGATATGAAGGAGGTATGTGCATGTAAATAAAATGTATGTGCATCTATTTGCTGTCACTGTACAGGCATTTAGTGGAAACTGTATTGAGAGCGTGCGTGTGCGTGTATCATGTTTGTGTCTATACTGAAATACTGGACATAGTGTGTGTGTATAGATTATGTTTACCTGTACATTGTGCCTAGAATTCCACGTGCGCGTGTGTGCAGTGTTGACATGTAGAACCAGGCAGCAGTGTTTGATGCGCACTGCCCTGAACGGTGAGGGAGGTTTCATCAACAAGCTTGTGTGCATGCGTGTGTGCATCCGCGCGCGTGTGTGTGTGTGTGCGCGTGTGTGTGCGCGTGTGTGTGTTAGTGCATGTGTGCAAATCTCACAGCGCACTGAGCTGCTTCCTCCATTTTCCAGCTCACCACTGAGCCCCCGGTGACATGACAGCTGGTGGGCACACACCAAGGGCGCAGATGGGATTTTGGAACTGGGGGGGGGAGGGAGGGTGGTGGTCAAGCTTAGAAAATATATTGTAATTGTAATCATACGTAGACAGACAAATACCATTTTGAATATGCAAATTTATTGACTTATATACATACACACGCACACTCTTTTATATCTTGGTATCGCAAATTTTATTTTTGCTTCCATGACGGGATTTTTCTTCCTTTTTTTTTTCAAACGCGGTCATTTTTCACAGCCAGAAAAATGAGAAAAAAAAAAAAACAACCAAATTATTTTTATTCTTAAATCGTCTCTTGATGATTGCCAACACTTGTTCTGTTCATTATGTTGTCGTCGTCGTTACCTGTTAGCAGGCGACACAAGCACGCGTGTTATGTTAACCTTTAAAATGTGGCGTGAACTTAATTAACGCGGGCGTTCGGCAAATGTGAGCCACGTTTCACTTTGACGGCTCTCGACGTGTTGGCGAACGGACAGAGGCCGCGGTTTAGATCACGTGTGCGCTGTATGGGAATGAGGAATGTTTATATGACGTGGACATGGGAATGGCAGACACGTTTGTTTACATGACGCGTGGCTGCGAGTGGACGGATGTTATGTCACGAGCAATGTGAATAGACAAAAACCAATGGACAAACATGCCGTGTGAATGAATGAACATGATTGTTGTTTTTCCACTCTAAAAGTTGTTGAGTCAAAAATGATCCACAGTTTTTAACCCTAATGACCCAAATTGGGTCAATTTGACCCAACTTTCCAAAAGTGAGTCGTTCTGCACAAAGCAACCCCAAAAAGTTGTGCCGTTTTGTACAAAACAACCCTGAAAGTTGTTTGGAAAAAAAAAAAAACGCAAGTAGCGGGTCGGTCCCTTTTTTGACCCAACAGTTTTTTTTGAGTGAGTAAAACGGGACTGTCAAGTGGAATGAGTAACAACATCCACGCGCCCGTCAACGTATCCGCGGATGACTTGCGACATCCGCCCACGAACGCTGCTTGTATCATTCATGTGACATACCTTCACAGCGGCGGCGTCTTGTCGCCGGAGGGGAGGATCCAATGTATCCTTTGCGTGCGGCGCATCAATATTTCACAAACCTGCCGCTCGCTGCTACCTTTAGCACACTTGTGATGACCAAAAATAGCAGCATGTCTGCAAACAATGAATAATTCCATCACATATTTAAAAGGCACACATGTACGTGCTTTAGTGGGTCATGTGTGTGTGTGTGGGGGGGGGGGTCGCCATGTTGGTGAAGACCACCCGTCACGTCACGTGATACGGGCTAGCTATGCTCGGAAACAAGGTCAACTGGCGGTGGAATATTTGGACTTGTGGGTCCGGGATTCATATTTTGGTCTTCAAGGAGTCTTCGAAGTTTTGATGTGAAAGTTCGGGAAGAGGTTTTAGGTCTTTGGAGGTTTTGTTTGCAAGTTCACAAAAAAGGTTGAAGGAAAAGCGAGTGGAATTTTTCTATTCCTTCAACTTGGATGATTTGCGTCAAGTATTTTAGGGCAGATTGATGGCCGGGTGGGATCACCTTGCCGCAAAATGACTCTTTCTTTGCCTTCAACCCAGATGGGGTTGGCACCTCGACGAAAATTCCGTTGAACGTTTGTGTACAGTCGCTTCAATAAAGATCACAGAGT